ACTTGTTTCTCGTCGCTTCGTCCAAGATCAGTTTGGCGGTTAGAAATCCACCCTCATTAGCCTCAGTTTAGCGTACGATTGCTTCGCTATAAAACCGACTGGAAGGGTAAAGAATTACAGGATTTGGTTGAAAGTGAATGGCGTGTTTTGATAAAAAAAACTATATTACGGGCGTAGAGTGCTTTTCACAGCCCCCTCACAGCCCAATTTACATACATTTACTGTATTTTACGTGTACCGCTATCCGCCCGAGATGTAGTCTTCATCCGTATGTATCTAAGCCTTCACTTTGAAACCCATGTAGTTTCCATATTATCAATTTATACCACTTGTTTGAACAAATCACAGACTAATCCAGTCCTAATAGTARTAGTTATAAACTTCTGCATTCATGGAATCAGTTCTAATGCAAACTCATCACCACCAAATATTTTATTACATTAACAGAAGGCGTCTCTCTGAAGCGTGTGAAGGGGTGCGTGCGGAGAAGCCAGTTTTACAAATATCACAACACTCAAAAGGATACCAATTAGTAAGCCTATTTTAGAAATTACATTAACAGGAGAAGGCGTACCTCTTTAGAGTGTGAAGGAGTACGGGGWAGCGAGGTTTGCGAAAATCACAACACTCAAAAGGAAACTTATGATTTAGAAGCCGGAAACTTTCAGTCGATCCCATGAATTCCTTTCGGCGTTCAAAAGGACACCGAACTCAGCTTGTTTTAGAAATGACATTGACAGGAGGAGGCTTCCCTCTCATGAAGAGTGTGATGGAGTACGAGCTGGAAACGAGGTTTGCAAAGATCACAGCACTCAAAAGGACACCGAGGTAAGCTTATTTTAGAAATTACATTGATAGGAGAAGGCGTCCTTCTGAAGTCCAGTTGTTTGGGCATGGGAACTTCTAAGTGAYAGAAGTCAGTCATAGGCTATACCACAGCTACACAGATCTATTTCAAATATAATAACTTCTTTATTCATTTAGCAATAGTTCTTTCTTGATTTTGAATCGTATTACAGGATCTTAACCAGGGTAAAAGAAAATAGAAAACGTTATAAAACAGAGTTTACATTTGTCTTTTTGGATGATTTTTTATCCATCTTCTAAAGAAAGCGGATTTTGCGTTGATTTTATCAAGAAAATGGGAAATAACATCGAGTTATTYAATCTTTTTTTCAAGCAGAAAGTCCAGCGTAGGAAATCAAAGATATATTATATCATATATGTTCCATTTCCCTATTGGATTGTTTCACCTTATCTTATGGACTCCACCCTTTGACAACGTAAATATCCATGCTGGTATGGTATCAGTGTACAGCCCCGTTTAAACTAGCGATTTTAGCTGCGATTTTTTTTGCGATTTTGTCCATAATAAATAATGATAAAGAATTTACTTGTAAAGTTTTTTTCAGGATACCAAGATTTTCCTAGACGAATGTCTCTTTTGAAGGATGAGACAAAAGATTTCATATTTCCGAAAATTGCCACAAAAATCGCAGCAAAAATCACCAGTGTAAACGGGGCTTACCACACCCCAAGTCCAACACTCTTTTCCTTGCCTAAACCACCCCCTCTTCTTCAATTGCACTGAATCGATCATTTCATATAATAGATACACAGGGAGCCCAAGTTAGRAAAAAGAGCTAGACGAAAATGAAATACACTTCTGCATCTTCCGACATACKGCGATCAAGGGGAATTACATTAGGAAAAAAGGCGCGCAGAAAAAAAAATCGTATTGCTTGATAATTTCTGTTTGCTTTTATTATTGAGCACGCTTCCTTAGACCCAAAGCCATCTTTGTTCAAGTGATATATTTTTCCAGATTTTGTTTTTGACTAGCAGTTTAATCTAAATTTGGCTCCCTGTGATAGCTCTTGCTTCACACGCCTTTAGAACCACCCCACCCACCCTGCACATGCTMAAGTTATCAAAACAGCTAGCCAAGCCAAATAATTTCACTATTTTAGCGTTTCAATAAAGTTATCTAAATTATATTCAGCTTCGTATTGATCTTCATCCCACAGTTTGCCCATGTCTTCRAGCATCGACTTCAGGGACACTTTGCTCTTCTCGGATTCTCGTAGAGCTTCGTGCTTCGTTTCATTGCCTTGTTTCTCGACTGAAAATAGATCAAGCARCTGGCCAGTGTCCATGGTCTGCAGRCTCGAGTTGTCTTGGGATATGACTGTGTTAGCGATGGTGAGTTTGAATTTCTGAAGACTGGAGAGGAATAGGTGTGGATTGAGTTATATTAATAGCTGGTCTAAAAATTGCTTGTGGTGAAAGAGATAAATTAAGAAATCAATGTATAAAACTTTTGAGCTCTGAAACGCAAACTTTTGAAGAAAAGATGCGGATGGAGAGATGAAAAAATGAATGAATGAAAATTATTAAGAAAATGAGAAACTAAAAAAAAAAGAAGTAGGAAAAAAGCACGATGAAAATGAGAAAGAAATGAATTTTTTACCAACCCCATAATTTTCTCCTCTAGTGTTCCCTTGGTGATCAGTCGATAGACACTGACAACCTTTTTCTGACCAATACGGTGAGCTCTATCCATGGCCTGAAATAACCAACARAATTATYAGAATAATGATATGYCATAATAATAATMATMATMATCATATGTCATAATAATRAAATAATGGAGTAGACATCGAGAAGTCAGAAAAAATCGACCCCMTGACCCTTCGTATACGAGTCGGATGCCTTATGGATGAATTTATAAAGACTTCAAAATCACGTCGCTCGGTTAGCAGTYCACAGTGCTAGAAATATCCCACATGAAACATCAGCAGTTCATTTCGTCATWTAAATAGCGAAAGTAGTCTATACTGAATAAGAGCTTTTTACTTGTTAGTGTCGTGTAACGTTCGTAATCAGATGACGTAAGACGATCGATAAACGTTTAATTATCGATCTGCTAACATCTTAGTGAGTGAGCGAGTGAGTGACACATTTGCATATTCAGACCCCTCACAATACTCGTTTCTACGCTTCGCGTATCCACGAGTTAAATATAAACAAAGTCTCTTTTCAAGAGTTACTAATTTATTGAATTACACGTGACATTATTCAAGCCACCATAATGATTACGTCATCAAACATACCTGTAGRTCCTTCATTGGGTTCCAGTCATGCTCTACAAAAATGACCGTGTCGGCACCAGTGAGGTTAAGCCCCAGTCCTCCTACGTGCGTCGTTAACAGCAACACATCAATTGAAGGATCGTCATTGAATCTAAACCAAGATATTGATAATCTTTTGAAAATGAAGGTATTTAACAATTYATAAAGCTGAATGTGAAACTGACCTGTGCACAATAGATTGTCTCGATCCAGCTGGWGTCGTGCCGTCTAGACGGAGGTACGTCACACTGGGCAAGTGACACCTGATTGGTCAGAAAAGTCGTGTTAGTACTGAGTATCACAAGTTTGCCATGGATAGGACGCTACCGTGCAGTGAAGGGTACAGTGGGGATATACTCCTACTCCTACTCATACGCCTACTCCTACTCCTACTCATACGCCTACTCCTACTCCTACTCCTACTCCTACAGAATTTGGTCTAAGGAAACTGGGACTAAGACAGTACAGTGTCGTGCCAAGACCGGTAATGGGGGTATACTCATACTCATACTCATACTCATACTCATACTCATACTCATACTCATACTCATACTCCCGTGGGGGTATACAATTACTCCTACCGAATCTACTTTAAGAAGATTGCAAGACATACTTAAGTAGATCGTTTTCCACTATATCCAGCATACTCTTCATCTGACARAAGAGCAGTACTCTGTGCTGAGAGACAACTGGTTCTGACGCCAAGTCACCAGATAAGCTTGATGTACTGATGCCAATACCACAATCAAGTAAAAGTTGCCTGGAAAACAATGAAGTGTGAAAACAATGAAGCGTGAACAAATTATTGAGTGATTTATTATTTGGGCCTCCTTTGGAATACTCATAACATAAAAAAGATTTTTTCTATTCGTCACAAATAGGTCGTTTGCACGATGGCGTCATTGACCTCTACTACCAGACTACCTAGCACACTTTCTTTTGTTGAGTTAACTAATGCCAATTTTCTTACTCTTCTCGTGAAGGAATACAAATTTGAATAAGAAAGAAAATTCGCAAAGCATCTGGGTAGTGGGAGTCAAATGACGCCATCATGTAAGCGTCCTATTGGCGTCCAATGGGCGTTTGTGCTGTGGTGCCGCTGTACTCATGATAATGAAGGCTTGCAGCAAACACTAGAGCCTACATAAAGCCCTGGAAAGCCAGAGTCATTTTTCTATCCTGGCTCTAGACTCCACCCCCATGCGAACCAGAAAGCCACAGGCACCCCAAGGAATCAGTTTTCCTACTCACTTYAACGCCACCAGTTTAGCAGCATGGTGTATGTCCCGTATAGATGTCTTGGAGTCCCGTATTTGTTCTGTAATCTTTTCGTATTCAGGATGTTGTGGCGTTAACACTAATAATGGATGGTTGCACACCTTACGTAGATACTGGAGAGCCTGGTAAAAACAAGAGAGACAAGAGCAATAYATACCAGGTAATCTAAAGATAAAAGATTAGCCAATCGGATTGCGAATAGCATTTTCAAATCCATGTATCTTTGAGCGACCAATCCTTGAAGAGCAGGGAGAGAAAACAAAATAGCGGATGGTTCGACGCCACGTCACGCAAGGATCATTCTTTGCGCCCCTAGTCACTGGTAGSCTCATAGTTAGGACCCTTACCACAGGCTACCCATGGATGGATGTTACGTACCTGAAATATGTGAGTCGACCCTTTCTTTGCCTTGTCTTGTCCACCGTCCACTAGAGACAAAGAATCACTCAGTCCTTTCTTTGTCTGTGATTTTGCAAAATCCTCGTATAGTTGAACCTGTCATGAAAAATATAATCATTAGGTCAGTATGGGTTACCTGTGTGTGGATAGACAAGGGACAAACAAATATTGTGGACTCGAACCATTCATTTCCTTCCATTTTCCAAACTACTTTCCATTTTTACCTTTCTCTTTCCCACTCATTTACTTTCATTTTTATTATTACTCCTGATYTCYGCATTTCTTTATAGGTAAGCAAGGGCGGATCCAGCCAAAAGTTTAGGGGGGGGGGACTAATAGAGTTTACGCGGGGGTCTAATTGAGTTTCTTCCGTCAACACGACGGAAAACAATAAATAAAGCATCTAATTCAGTTTTGTTTTGTTTTTTGTTCTGCTGAAGAGGGGCTTCAGTCCCCCTTTTCCCCTTTCCCCCCCCCCCCTGGATCCGCCCTTGGTAAGCTTAAGTAGATTACGTAGTTCTCCCACCCTTCAATATTTTGCTTACACAGACCTTCAAAAGACAGCATCAAATTTGAACAAAAACCTGAAACAACCTCTGGGCTGATCAAAGCAGACCACCCTCTATCTAATAGGAGAACAATTCCTTAAAAATCACTGATTACAAAACTACCAAGTCAGTCATTCAGTTACCTGTATTGGGCTTAATTCACAGTAATAATCTTGGATAATTTTTGGTGGTAGATCCTGCAGTACATCTTCTTTCAGACGTCTRAGAATGAATGGTAAGACCTGGCGATGTAGAGCTTCCATCGCAAGTGCACCTACAAACCAAGTAAACAATGAGCCATCTTATCCAGTAAGCGACCATCATCCATAAACACTGCCCTCCAGTGATAAATTTCTACGAAGGAAGCTGAACCTGTGATGGACGATGTTCAGTAAGCACCACCCACAGTGACGACCTACAGTAAGCACCGTTCAAGTGACCAACTAAAGTGACCGTCCCATTTAGTGACTACACCCACTGAAATAGACCCAGAAGGCAAGTGACCACGCCCACTGACCAAACAGATTTACATCCTAAGTGACCAATAATAACAAGGGACCACACCCATCATATTAATCAAGCAACATCTTGCAATACCACCCCACTTGGTCTAAGTTAGCCTGCATAGCGGCCCAAATTCCTGTCCCCTCCTACACAGGCCCCCCCACCCCTTACCCCTTACCCCCTCCCCCCACTTTGGGCCACTACGCAGGCTAGGTCTTAGCTTACAAGACTAACCAGCTTCTTGTTCTTTGGATGAGGACTTGGCATCTCTGCTCTGTAGAATCGGTTTACCATATCGAGCCTGGAACTGTTTTTCTGTTCCCAGGAATCCAGGCATSAGGAAGTCAAATAATGACCATAACTCAAGTACATTATTCTGTAACAAGGATAAAATAGCCTAAGCTCGTGGTCACCTTGGAGTTTGGATCATTTCTGATTACCAGTGTATGTTTGAGGCAAACAGAACGGGGGCGGGGCACGGCACGGTACACCCAAAATGTAGACAATTGCTGGATTCCCTTCAGCTGATAAAATTCCTCGAATCTCATTATATGCTCCAAATAGTAGTCAAACACTGAYATGGGCTTTCAGCCATAAAMATTCTACTCAARAYTTGCGATTCAGATGATGAAMATTCCACATGAATCAGAAAATCASGTAAARYRAAAGTMATTWTATTTACTAACCTGTATGGGTGTTCCACTGAGGATTAATCTATGACTTGCTTGAAGCTGTTTAATGACTTTAGAAAGCTATGAAAAATAAGTGATAAAAGATTTCGTTCCATTCTTATGAGGTATATATGCACAAATGACAAAGCTTTGTGGCTTCCCAATCAGCACCCTAGTTCACTCTCAGTCCCAGTGTCCTGTCATTCTTACTACTTGACCAGTGCTCGCAGGTTATATAGAGGTTTTGCATCATCACGTGATGGCAGCCATGTTAGATGGCAGGAACAATAAAATCGTTTTACATGAGAAATAATTCAATTCCCGAGAGCAAAGGGATTTCATTGTCATCTAACCACAGGCAACCCAAGCTGTATTATGGGCATGGCATGTGATGGTGCTATATCTCAAATATTTTATATAGAAAATAATATACCTTTGTTTTCCCATTCTTTATGATATGCCCTTCATCTAGAATACAATAGTTCCATCTTATTGACCTGAAAAATAACATTTATTATTATATGGCAAGGTAATTTYACRCGCTATGATTGGTCAATTTGCGKTCCATAWTTTACGGTACGGACCTYGCACTYGGTTAATAAGAGCTATGTATAAGGAACACAACTTTACCACAGGGTAAGTTAAGAAGGGTGGGAAGCAAGTTACTTACTTGAAAAAATCGCTGTCATTCCTGACGATATCGTATGAGGCTACAACAAGGTTGTGATTCTTGACTTTAGAGCGCAATCTGGAAATGAAAATGAAAACAGTTTACACGTGTATGCCGACAGCCTCATGACTCACACCTTCTTTTCTTTGAAATGCTATAAACAATTTTGAGACC